CTAGTTTCTCTAGCTTTAGCTCTTAATATTCAATCAAAGTTTTGTACGGAAATAGCATGGAAAAATTTTCAAAAATTTTAAAAATGTTTTCTAAATGTAATTTAGCGAACAATTGAATAAATAAAACTCATTTATTTGTCGCTAAGTTATACCTAAAGCATTTTTTTTTAATTTTCAAAATTTTATCCATGCTCTTTTCATACGAAGTTTGATTGAATTGCGCTCTATCTAAACGTTAATATTAAGAACTAAAATTTTCAGAGAATTGTTTTTTATCAATTTGGAACCATTTGAGCCCCTGGGAGCAAGGAAATTCGAAAATGACCATTTTAAGGACCACCCTAATATATATATATATATATATATATATATATATGTATATATATCCAATATGAAAATAATGTACATATGTGCAATTTAATGCATTGGGAAACACTGAACACCATTCAATCTTTTTTATGTTCAATGCACTTGTCCATCTGCTATGTTCCCTCGTAAAAAACTGGCGCAATTATACATTGTGTTTGATATGAATTGTATAAAGGGGAGTTTTTTTGTATTTAATAATTATTTATGTAATGTTTTTTATAAATTTTAATCCAAATGTAGATTTGCCACAATGAAAATTTAATGGTGCACACTTGACGTACTTTGTAATTTTAATAGAACATGAAGGTAAATGAATCACAAAGAGAATAGTTGTTTTTCATATATAGGCTTTTGTGTATCTTTATGCAAGAAATAATAGAATAAAAAAGAAAGTTTCAAGTATAAAAGTTCAGCATTTATTATCTGTGGATCTAAGAAAAATGATTTGTAAAAATGAATCTTTTGGTATAAATAGAAGCTTTAACTTAGTTTTATCAAAATTCTATTTGTATTTTTATGGAATTTTAATTATCATTGGATAGATTTTAATTATCTCTTTCATAAATATATATTCGTAAATGTGGCTTTTAAGATTTCCAATCTATCTATTTTCAAATTTGAATATGTCACGGAATGCACAAACAATTTCTGCAGTAAGAGCTTCTACGATTTGCATGCGTTTTGTAATTTAAACTTAATATTTGTGAAATGTGAAAATGTATAATTAGTTTTCATCTCAAATAATTAAACATGTAATGATATTATGTTTCAAAATTAATTAATGTCTACGTTTTAACCTTAACTTAATAGTTTGAACTTATGCTTCATGTTATGACTAACTGGTGAATGTAATGTAATAAAATTATTTCCATATCGATCGGCCTAAATAACTTTTTATGGAGCATGAGAATATCATACGAAGTGACAAAGTAGATCGTCCAATACAATAGCTAATAAACCCTTTTTCATTCAACCTTAAAAGCTTACATTAATAACATTTTGTTCCATAACTGAGACAAGTTAGTGCTCTTTAACATCTCACATATTACAAGTTTACGTAGTTATTTTATTGCTGTTAGTAAACCTGTTTTCTGTGGCTGGAGATTTTAACAAGTTTTTAATGCCCACTTCTCCCATCCTAATTCGCACTTAACTTACTGCATTATTCGAGGCATAGAGTTACCTTTTAGTATCGGCATATCGGGCAGCATTCCTCAGTTTAATAAGATGTGCGTTCTAGATTTTGTTATAAATTCTGGCATAGAGGAAACACATGGTAAATGACCAATATTTTCACCTAAATTTACTTACTTATCGTTACTTGATTCATCACTTCCAAATGTAGTAGTCTTGATTGCAAAATTGTTATAGCTCCATTGATCGTTTCGAATATTTCTCTCTATCTATTTCTAATAACTTGGTTGACAAATTTTTTGAATTGTCAAATTTAAATGATGCAATTATTGAAACAAAACTGGTTAAGACATGAATCAAAGAAATAATTATTCCAAAGGTTGGTTTCAGTTACAATTACTTGCTTTTTTTTCTTTTTTTTGAAACGTCCCATTTTTTATCTTATTATCTTTCAGCACCTTTACTGACGCTGTCACCGTTCCCATTGATTTTCTCTCAAGTCTTTACTTTCTTCTCTTTTAAATTGACTTAGTTTTCAAATATTAGTGATCAGTATTTAGAAGCTCCATAAAATGTCCTTCACACTCAGATTTATAACGAGCTATATTCGGACAACTATTCCCGGTGTCCCCTACATCCGAGCTCCTTAAGTGAATCATACTTTCTATATTTACCAGGCTTATTGATTCTTCAGTCCGAAGGCGTATGTTAGTATTTATAAACATTTTGTTTTCACTTAGTCCACAAATAGGAATTTTAAACAAAACGCGCTAAGCAAAAATAAATGCAGTTCAAGGAAATACCATTGGCATTCCGAAGTACACCATCATTGATTTCTTCAATAACTATTTATAACGAGCCGGGTGCATTGGTGACCTTACATCCTAATATAGTTTAAATGTTTATAAAATTTCAATTATGACGAACATTGAATGGCAATAGTGCCGGATGAATAATTTCAACATCGAATTGTTTGGCTTATATGTTTTGTGGTCTGTGTTGAATATTCTCGAAATGATGTTAGAGGTGTGGAATTTTCTGAGAAAATATAATTGTTTCTTAATTGCAAATAGTCAATAGCTTTCTTGAACATGAATGCTATAATCGAAACTTGAAATCGTCATGAAACAAAATGCTTATATAGACAAAAATGATTTGATTACTAAAATTATTAAATTACAGTATATTTGAAAAATCAAATGTTTCTTTAAATCGAATTATTTTTATTGTCATAAAATTATTCCTAGATTTTCCAGAAAAGTTTGAAACTATGAACATTGTTATCAGATTTTCTATAGTCTCACATATATTAACTATTCGTATTGCACCAAACCTGGCTCTTGTGTTTTTAAAATTAAGTTATTTGTCGTAGTTGCTTCATTTGTCCCAATACCCATATTTAGTAGATTCCACCAATACAGTATCAATGTCTGCATTGTTTAAATATCTATTTCCCTTTGCCTCTATATTTTATATCAGATAAACGTTTCTCCTCGAAGTTTTAAGTATGCAAGGGTTATCTGAAAATTCATTTCGTGGCATGGCACAATGCGTCACAGAACAATATCAATTTTATTTAACTTACTATCAACCTATATTACTAAATACTTCCCCTTTGTTGACAGAAATCTTTGACACACGCAACTTGTTAAGGTAGTTTATTTATTGTTGTTGCGTGTTTCGGAATAATTGGAATAAAGAATTTTGAATATTGGTATTATATCTGATGTAGAATTGAATACTGGTAGTCTGTTGATGTAAAGAAGAAATGTATAGATGCAAAAATGACTTTTGTAATAGAAATTCTTATCATAAATCAACGTAAACTACAATTAATACAAATAAGAGATATAGTGTCTTCTGAAACACAATTTACACGTGCATCCACATCTTAAACTTCATCCAGTCTTTACTTGGATCCAAATAAGTTTTACTACATACAAGATAATACCATTCTTGCAAGTTAAAACTAGCCCCAAGAATTTGCTATAACCAACCCTAGGTGTGATTTTTTTAGATTAATCAGGATAACTGGTCAAACAATTAAGCAATCGCCAAAAAATTGACAAAGATTAAGGCATTTAAAACTAGTGGGGTGTATGGCATCGTGCTTTAAGGCAAAATGCTGAAACTTCCCGTACCGTAACGAAATGTTCCAAGAATACTGAATGTTTTCAAACAGATTATTATAAATATTGTAACATTGTCTAATATTTATGAGAATTATATAAACTGAATTGCAAAGCTAAAATTATTTGTTTAAAATATATTAGAACTTTAGTCAGAATTAAAAATAAAATCCGAATTATTTTCGATATACAAAAAAAACTAAAAAAAAAATACAATTTTTTTTTCCAAAATCAATTATTTGTTAAAACAAGCTGAAAGTTCTTTGAATCATTTAAATTGGACGCTTAGTTCTCTCAAAAACTGCCATTTTTGCACACTTATCTCTGTATCTTCGAAATGGCTGGGCCTGCCATTGCCAAAAACTAATAATCACTTCTTCCAATCAATACGAATGTTTTTAGATCATTCAAATCGAATGCTCCGTTCACTCAAAAACTCGATTTCTATTTTCTGCACTCTTTGCTTCGTATCTCCGTAACGGCTGGACTGCCTATGCCAAAAACTAATCAGCACATCTCCCTATCAATAGGAATCGAATGTTTTTTGAACCATTCAAATCGGTTGATCCATGCGCCCGAAAACGTGGACAAAAAATTGTATCCATATATACATACACACACATCCATTTTTTCTGAAGTATGCCAAAATGTTCAGAAATCTTCAAAACGTCGAGAAATGTAAAAATTTTCAATTTCGATTTTCGGCCCATTACAATAACTTACCCTAGGGAAGTTAATAAAATAATATATATGAAATAACGCAAACGCAAAATTTATGATAACTCAATTTTACATTACTTGTCAAAAATGATGCACCTGCACATTCGGTTTACTTCGTCGTCCTGCGGAACAGTAATATGGATGATGATTTACATGTTCAATCGAGACAAAAATTATTTTAATATTTTTTATGATCCTAGGACCAATAGCTTAGTATCTTAGGATTTCAATAGCTTCTCCTTTGATAACTCAGGTTGTTGGGTTATAATTTAACCCTCTCTACCAGAAATAGCAACCATTCCGTGTAAAACCTCAATGCCATGAAGGTGACAACCACCATGATTTACATGTTCAATCGAGACAAAAATTATTTTAATATTTTTTATGGTCCTAGGACCAATAGCTTAGTATTTTAAGATTTCAATAGCTATTCAAAAATGTCTGGTACTTTTTACCCCTGTTGCATAAAGCTCTCTTATATCATATTACTATTATTTAATAAAAGTTCGTTACTAATTCTGAGTTGAAAATTAATATGAAAAATATGTTTTTTAACTCCATATACATAAAATAAGATAAATCACAAAACTATTTACCCTTACCAATTTCACACTTTTAATAACATCCTTCATCCTTTATCCTTTTCAGACCTCAACTACTGTGGGACCCACGAGCCTTGTCTGCACGGTGGCACGTGCGAAAACACGGCGCCCGATCAGTACCTGTGCTCGTGTGCCGAGGGTCTCTCCGGCCGACACTGTGAAATTGTTGACAACCCCTGCGCCCCTCAACCTTGCCGAAACGGCGGGACTTGTCGAGAGAGGCCTGGGTCGGGGTCGAATTCGGCTGGGGCTGGAGGCTCGAACGCGGCCAATGGGTATCAGTGCTTGTGCGATGCTGGATGGGAAGGCCCTAATTGCGAAACAAGTAAGTGGATATGTAATAGATATATTGATATGATTTGAATGGGATTGTAAATTATGGTAACCGAAAGTTTGAGATTTTTTAAAGATTTATATTCATTTTAACCAGTTAACTGTGATTGACATATGTAATCGTCGTGAAAAAGGCAGAATTATTATTATTTGTCATAAGTGTAAATATTAGACCAGTGGTCGGGGAACCTGGGTAAATTGCACCAAATGGGGTAAAAATGAAAGTTTTGGGGATAAAAAGTATAATTGATATTCATTGTATTTGCTACTTAGTTGTTCATATGGGGGGTAATCTCTTTCCGCGATAGGGGAAATATCAACTTAGACCAAAAAAAATTAATAACTAAAAAAGTTCCCCGACCGCTGTATTAGATTATTTGTTATTTAGATTGCAGTTTCTAGAAAGAAAAAAACAAATCGTTATCCTCAAATTTCAAGACTCTTAGAATATTTGAGGCTATGCTAATATAAAATAACTTTAAAACATAGTTTTACCTCAGTTCTGACTACATAATCTGTTTGATGCAGGCGACACAGTTAACTGGTTGTATATAAAACATGTCATAATACGAATATTCGAGATATAGGGTCCGCCAACTAGCTTTTTTTGAAAAATTCCTTAAAAAATCCACTGAATATTTTGCCAATTTTCTCTTTGTTTGAAAATTCTATTAAAAAGCCACTTCTTTTATTTGAAAGTGAAATGTAAAGAGTGCAGAGTACATAGTAGGGTTGCTTAAGTCGGGTCCCCTAAAAAAAAAAAGTTATTGGCGGACCCTATATTTAGTACTAACTTTAATTGCAAAAAAAGAACTAATACTACTTACACTTACTGGCAGAATTGCTAAAAACTCTATCTTCTGGTTACAATAATTTACTTGATTTACATTCTCTTAGGTATATGTTAAATTCATATGTGAAATTTTTTGGAAATTATATAAAAATGTTTAAGTTTTATAATGCAGTAATAGGAAGATTATGCTATTAGATTACTTTGATTTCAAAAAAAAAAATTGTAAACACAAATTTGAAAATAAGATATTTTTGATAAGATATTTATGATTATTGTAAAGTATGTTCATAAGGGCATAGACGTCATAAAAGTATCTCAAAATGAAGTTTCCAAGTAAACAATTTTTATCAATAATAAGTTTTTATTGAAACGATCAAATTCAAGTCGTTATCGAATACTGCAATCATGAACACGTTAATATCGTAAAAATTTACAGGGCGCACCAAAAACTAATTGCATTGCATCATTTTTATACCTCTGTTTTATTTAGCAATCAGAAATTCATAGAGAGCTTTGCTTCATAGAGAGAATTTTTGTATCTAGCAATATAATCTAGTGTTATTCCTGTTTTATATCTTTATAGCGATTTCATTTATGCAAAACGTTCATAAAAATGTTTGAATTCATTGCAATTCATTCCAATAAAGCCCAAAGAGCTGCTTCCGCACTTCGAACGTACATGTATTCAAATTGTGTTTTGGTTTATAGCTTATCGATTTACATAAATGCATGTGAAAAGGGTAGACAGAAAATCATTATTTTCTAAAAATATCATGGAAATATATAATAAATCGAGGAATTCAATTCCGTTTGTAATGGGATAGCCGTTGCGATATAATAAATTTCGACATTATAAAAGTTTCTTTGGAACCGGATTTTTTGTACAACTTCACTAGCAAAGCTTGGTCATATTGGTAATAATATATATTGCTTAAATGTTTTATAGCGAGATTTTTGCATGTTATTTAAAATTAAGTGAATATGTTTTATTGATATTTTATGTTTACGTTAATAGATAAAAATATTTATTTCGAGTTGAATTTGCTTGCTCATGACTTGTTTGTACTCCAGATGCTTGAGGAGTTAGTTGATGAGGTTTTCGTCCTCGTTTTTTAGTTTTGTTCCTTCTTTGATGGTGTCATACTGTTACTGTTTTTGTATGATTAGAAATAAACTATAAAAGATAACTTCTTGAATTTGTGCTAAATATGTAAGACAATAACATATGACAACCAAATTCACATCAAACTTGTACACATGAATTCACCATTGACTAGTACATATGACTATTACATGTGATATGTATTAAAATTAGCTTCGTTATTCTTTGCTCCTGTATAATATAACTCATAAAACTATTCGAGCACCCAGTAGTCTACAATCATAACAATTCTGCAAGATGTACACATCACTTGTATTGAATGTAATACAATGTGTCTTACGCAGTCCCAAGGCACATGTTGAAGTGTTCTTCTCTGCACTTCGTCACTGGCAAGTTGATTTTTAACCGTTGGAAACCGTTTGCTAAAGATATTTTTAAAGATTCGCAGCGTGGGTGATATAAAATTTCTAACTGTGCAGATGGAATTGAAAAAAAAAATTAAAATAAGGCAATCAAAATGGAAACTTCAATGTTTGCGTACTAAGAAATTTATATGTATTTTCACATGCTTATTATATGCAATATATAGCAAATTGGCGTCAAAATAAAATAAAACTCAAAATATTCAAAATTCAAAAATTGGGTTGAGGATATGGAATCAAAATCATTGTCACTAATTACCTATATTTTTTCACCTGCCTGACGATTTAACCAAAGTCTTTGTAAAGTTAGCGTCTGATTTACAATAAATGTAAATTTATAAATATTGCTCCTCGAGCTACCTGATACAATCGTTTACCATTTAATTACATGACTATCCAATTAAATAGAAAGTACACAATACAAATTAGTTGTACATCACAAGCACAAAAGTTATAAATCATGAACGAACATTTGACACTAGAAATTTTGAAACGAAATGGATTCGTTCGAAAGAAGAGCTGTCAATCAAATTCACAGTAATATGGTGAAACTCGATTAGTTTTTGCAAAATTAACTAAATTATTCTCCTAATTGGACTTCACACATGGGTGATTACACTAGCTTCGGGAAAATGAATTGCAGTAATAAATGATTAACAAGACAAGTAGTAAATTTCAACGAAATAAATTATTTAAATGCCAAAACAGTTGTTGTTTTTAGAAAAATAATATACAACATTTAACGCCACCTTATTAAAGTGGCAATTATGTAATTAATTATGTTCAATAATGTAATAACACAATATCATATTCGTAATTAATTATATTATTTTTGTATTTATTTATTGTTTGGTGTACGATATCATTGTTAGTAGACCTATGCCATTACCATTTCTTAGGACACAACTAATTAACTTGTGACCGACTACTAAATCAGTTGTTGGTCCTTTTTCACACATTTATTAATTTCATTAGGCATTAATCAATTATTATTAAGAAAGTCTTATTAATCGAATATCATAATTCGCCGATAGAAGGCAGTCATCCGACAAAATAAGGAAATTTAAAAATTTGATCTCGTCGGTGAATTCCATCTAAGAACGTCGCAGCATCCCGATTTCATCTCGAATTCTTTCAAGCGAGCATTCAGTTCGGATGACATACCTAAGTTGAGTTTTGTGCCCAATTAGTAGAGATCCGTAGCATGATTATCATTTTATAAAAATCGTTTTTTTAATTTAATTTTTATTAACCCTGTTGTTACGATCGATTTATAGCCGAGCTTAAGAGTGATGAAGGAGAAACGCGGGGTTTATCTTGTATTTGCTTGAAGACTGTGGTTAAAGATTCACTTTCAATATAATTTTATTATATCATTTACATATTATATAAAATATTATAAATCATATTTAATACTAGACCAATTTCACAATAAATATTGGATCTTCATATATTCTATTTAATGTCAAATTTTTGTGTATACGCTGTAGAACTTGGAGCTTTTATAGGAGTCGTGGAAGATATGATGTTAAAAATGTGTTGATGTAATGACAACTTGTGTTTTACAAATAAATTAGCTATTCTATCTACCTCAGTTTTGCTAAATCTTCATCAACTAATATAATTATTATCCATTTATTGCTTCTGGATGAAGTTGTTTCATGATGTTTGATAGTACCAAGATAGTGTTTCAGATTTGTTCTTTATACTCTAATAAGTAAAAAAAGAAATTTTCCTCATCCTGAATCCAATCCAAATATTTTCTCAGCATAGATCTGTTCAAAATATTATCTTAACCTTATCGCAAATCCGCAATTCGCTTTTCCAGCGGTATAACAAACTGCACGATTATGCAACGTATAAAAAGGATCTATTGATCTATTTGCTGGCAAACGGACGTTCGGGAAGGTACAACGACTCTGGACTGCTTATAGTTATATATGTTAGTTTAGAATATAATTCTTGCAATCGTTTTAGAACGAAACTGTTTGCTGCATATATTGAAAAACGAACCACATACATCACTTGGCAGTTAGAAGTAGAGATGTTCAAGGAGAATGTCGATGCTGGAGAATGACTGGTGAATGGGGGGGGGTGGGATTATAGTTGCAGAGAAAATATTTATCGAATACACAATTGGTGGACGATATATGTGTGATTCATTTTACATTCCGAGATATTTTAACGTATCCATGTTTTTGCAAGTTTATATTCCTTAAATTAAATACAACCTATTGCCGCTTTTTCATAATATTTTTTTTAACGGCAATCGGAATCTCACGTCCTATAAACTGTTGGGCTGAAACTTCTCCTTGCGTCGTATTTTTATATGGTAACTGGTTCTATTATTTAATTTATGGGGTTGACTTATTATTTAATTTTATGGAAACTTATTATTCATTGCTCGGAAAGGGCTACTTTCACTTGGAAACATATTTAAAATCTATATTATATAACAAAAGTTAGATTATCTTCTGACAGTAAGTCGAATATTTTCATCTATTTCTGCTGCATTTTCAATTTATAGAATCGATATTAGTCTAGTAGAATGATCTTTCTCGCTCTTATGATTTCCCTTGTTCTCAGCCTAATATTTATAGAGTTGAACGGATTTTTCCATCTTTTGGTTAAAAAAATGTGATAGACTATTATATGTCTATTAATAGCTTCGTTGA